GAAAATACAAAAACCAAAAATAGATAAAAGTAAAGTTTATGATAAGGTACCCCTTGATATCTTTGGAATTTTTTTAACATCAAGAATGATGCCTTAAAAGCAATGTTTCTGAGATGGCTGTTGTCCCTAATGATGCTGAAAACATATGTTTCAAAAACAAAAGTACTCACCTCATTTGTTCTTGGCTATGTCTCATCATTAGTGTGGAATGAATGCAGCACATAAAGTTCTTTTATGCAATTCATGTAATCCCAAAATGGATCCATCTCTTCCTGATCCTGGTGCCAGCTGTGCCACAAAAATTCGGCAAAGTAGGAATTGAAAATGTTATTCGATGACTGCAGAAGAACCCACTTTTGAAATTCCTGTGTAATCTGGCTTTACATCCTCGGTGGAGTTGGTATAGGTGTCGGTTTCGAGGTCTTTGGTAAGTCATAGACTGATTCACTGATAAATGCTGGAAACCTTGATTACTGAGGCAATCATTGGCTTTCTAACAGCCCAAGATTGCTTTAGGCAGCATTTCTTGAGAATTCACCTTCATAAAATTCTCTTTCTTGTGATCTTTCACAGCTTGTCTTTCAGTACTACTGAACACCCTCTTTCCATCCACCACTGTAGCCTTACAGTACAAAGTCCATAATCCGGACGTCCATTATCCGGAATGATCTACAATCTGGACCTAAAAGCCAGAAACTTTTTTTATGTATGCTTTACGCATGCGCATGCACATTGGGAGGATGTTTCCAGATACGTTAAAAAGTGCTTGGCATAATTTATGGCCAGCTACCATATTTCATGGTGAGGACGATGAAGATGATAGCCACGAATTTGAAAGTTTTCAGACATTGCAAACTAAAGGTGAAATTTTCCAGTTATTGAATTTTGTAAAGAAATGTGGAGAAGTGGTAATAAATGAAGATGATATAACAGAAGTTTTTCATTGTGACGACAATGCCTCAATCATCAATCAATTAACGGACGGTGAAATCTGTAGTATGGTTCTAAATCCAGAAAATACCACTTCTGATAGGTGGAACTTTGTAACTGAACAAGAAATTATGTCTGTGTATAGAATTAAAGAGAAAGTATTAGTAAAAAAACGAAACAACTTACATTGAAAGAAATGTTTAATAAAGTAAACAAATAAATATTAAGCTTTTTTTTTTTTTTTTTTTTTTTTGTAAATTTTGATACCCTTTAGATCATAATTGCTCTTTATTTCATAAATTATGGTTTCATATTTTTAATTGTATAATTTCTGCATGCCATCTTATTCAGTTTAAAATTGATGATCTATAATTTGAAAAAAACCCCTAAGCCGGAATCACCGAAGTCCCGACGAGTCCGGATTATGGACTTTGTACTGTATTATACTTTTTTGTCAAATGTGCAGTTATTAGTCTCTACAACCATACCAAAACCAGCAATCATTTCATTCTTTTTTACGCTTACATCCATACACATTTCTCTACAAAAATTCCTACAGTCAGCTACAGTTTTATTCGAACAGACATTAATCTCATAAGCAGATTTGTTCCAGCTTCATGTACCCACAAATAAGTAAACATTAAAATATCAGTTATACTGATCTTGCTTTCTTCGAACCATGTACTTTTTCTTACAGCCCTATTACAATAATGAGCATTTCCATCTTTCTCATGACAAACCCACTCATAGGCATCTGATCGAACTTTATGCTCAACCAGATGCGTATCTTTCATCCAGACTAAGCATTCATACTGAGAACTAATTAAACCTTCATTCATACACCAATCAATAATAGCTTTCTTACCTTTTCAGTCTAAATTATGAATAAAACAAGTATTTATCTTAGCAGACATACTTCTTTATAGAAATGATGGAACAACGATTAATTAGAAGTTGACAGTTAAAGAAAAACCAACAGTCAATTAATGGCAATTAAAATTCTAATAGTTCAAAATATGGTCAAATTTAAAATATGTGATTTGTAGAATGTAATATATGTATTACATATCACATAGCCCTTGCATACTAAACTTAGAAGTTCCAATCAGATTAAACTTAAGAAAAACATTGGCACATAGCAAAATAATGGTTGCCATAACATTGAGAAAACAGAGTCCATTCTTAGTTACCAGAAAACTGGTACCAGCATTGAAATTTGTGCCAATCTAAAGGGCACCCTTTTCTATACTAAAACTAAAAAATGATGGCATCGCTAGTCTGTATTATATTATTCAGTGTTCAATGAGAATCTATTAATTTTCTCTAAAATTTATGGGATTGCAAGGCAAAAATGCAATAGCCCTCATAGAGATTGCTAATTTTTGAAAGAAATCTAAGGAATTCAAAATCTGTAATTGAGAAAATCAAATTTTATCATCTTAAATGCTGAGCAAAACAAACTGAGGTAATTCTTTATTATTACAGTCTCCATTTTTTAAACGTCAAGTTTGTATCGGGATTATTATGAAGTTCATGTATTTCTTACATATACTTTTTTAACAATTGCTTTTTATAGGGCATCAGAAGTGTTTTCTTGTTCCAAGGACTTTTGATGATAGAGAGCTGTGTCTGAACTTAGTGAAGCACGAGTCTTTCAAAATTTTCTGTATGAGCAGCTATTGTTGGATCATTAAAATTAGATTTATGTTTCACAGTAAAATATGTCTTGCCTGCATATTTGAGTTTCTGTGTCAGCTCACCAACAGTCTGAATAAATTGTTGATTGATCTTGTACTCAGTCAAAATTTTTGCCAAGGCTTGTACCAGCGGGGGGCAAGATGGTGCACAGCACATGGATGGCCAAATTTAGGTTGGCACATTGATTATCATATATTATATCACATCTATAAACATATTATATTTCATCATATCACATCATATCACATATCACATCTATAAACATATTATTTGTTTTTTTTGTGTATGAACAGATTAACATATTTTTATTTATGCCCACAATTTTTTCAGGGCTACTTTTTCAGTTATTTGGTTGTCAAATTAGATATTGAGAATCCGCTTCTCTCATAAAAGTATTACAGTTAATAGCTGTATTCTTGTAAAAGCTAAGCTACTTCTTCCACTAAATTGACTTCTGTGCCTAACAGTAAATAAATTTCTGTGCTATTACAAACGGTATTCTGAAATCACTGATCCAGTTTTCAAAATGTATGCCTTTCCTTCATCTATACTTTTTGTCACCTTCAAAAGCTTTCATTGATATGTAATTGTATTTAATGGTCATTTTTGCATAGTTGAATGAAGTAAAATGCATCTTTTTGGAAAAATGTATAACATCTTCCTCACTTCTTTCTAAATTTAACATTTTAAACATTTCTTTGGATAAAGAAAATACTGTAACTCATGGAATCCTTAGAGCTCTTCTTATGACAAGAGATTATGAGTGATTGTGAGTTGTTAACATTTATATGGGAGGAAAATACAGTTATACAGGGCTTACTTGGATTTTTTTTTCATCATGAGCAAACTGTAAATATTTGTCATTTAGGCTGGTTGGGTTATTTGATTATGGCAAAGCACTCAAAGGCTACCTGCCTAACAGTAAGGAAACCCTCTTGGAGGACTTTCTAAGGAAAACTGGTTCATATACCCATTACACATGGGAAGAAAACAACAAATATGCGCATGCAATCAGCCCATTTGTCGATATTCAAACACCAAACTGGACCACCAGTGTTCAGTGATTTTTATCGCTCAACCACTGGTGGGCCGTATTTGTCATTAGGACTGCTGGCCATTTGAAACTGTCGATTTGTTGATAATATTGCTGCTGTTTACGAAATAGGGGTCATAATAATGTGGAAATACCCAAACTGGTAAGGATAAAAAATTTCTAATTAGTTGCATTGCCAGATGCCTTAAAGAACTTATTCCAAAATTTTCATCATAGCATGAGTTCTGAACAGCAGTCTCTCTAACAGCCCAAGAACTGATAGTGCAAGACACAATAGGATCTCTTAAGTTATGATTATTTTGTGTCCTGGTTTTCTAAGGAATTGTACACTATATCTGTCTCACACAGCCTTGTTTAGAACACATTTGAAGGCATATATAAGAGTAGTACCACAATGATATCTACAAAGTCCATTATTTCCGATTTTCGCACATTTGGAAATTTTTATACTTAATCAACAAGTGTTCAGTAGCTGGTAGGGGGAGGAAATGTTAGGTCTTCAAGCTGCAGGTTCATAATCTTCAATGAGTCTTTTATTTTGTGTACTGAGCTTCTGAAATTGTAGGATTTCTGAATAGCTTAATATTTTATGTAGTCGAATTTGAAAGTTCTATAATTTCTAAATTTGGATCTTCAAAATGTAAAACTTTAAAATAGTCCTTGAAAATGAAAAATAATTCAAATTATTGATGTATTTCAGGTAATTTTGACACAGTATTTCCCATGTAGGTATATTAAATGCAGAGAATTCTATATTTATATAACTATATCTACATAAATAAAATGAGTTTTTAATCTGCTTTTATATTAAAATTTTAAAACATGTAAATGTCCAAGCACAATATTTCTTCTTTAAAAGATGAAATAAAAGCTGTAAAAAATAAAGCTTTAAAAGCTGTAAAAAATTTTTGAAAGATAAATCCTCATAAAATGTTTAGAAATTATTAAATATTACATTTTTTAATTTAAAAACAAGAAATGAAATTCAAGAAATTACTATTTAAGCTAATGTGCTTTTAGAAAAGCCTTCAGAGATTCCAGTGGTAATAAAGTCCTGTTTTATTAGGGCAGTGTTATGATGTACTCTTAACTAATATGAATTAAAATAAATGTTTTTATGCCTAAATATTGGTTTTCTTTGTTCAGTTTTATTTTATTTTAATTTTGAAAATGTCATAAAATTTATCACAGATTTAGAATTTTTGTTTCCATTTTGTCATACCTTAATAATTTTATTTATATCGGTATAATATAACCATCATACCTATATTATCTAAAAAATGTTTTATATTTCTGTAATATAATTTGTCTATTGCAGATTTGTGTCTTCAGATGTCTCAACTTTCACAAAAGCAGAAATTTTTGGCTCTTTACTTGCATATGTAATTAATTTAATTCCCTCCATTTTTATGAAATTGTGTCCAAGCTTTATTCTCAGATTGTTGCGCTGGTGTCCTACCTCATCTGAAAGGTTAGAGAAAGCAGAACAAGATGTCTTATCATGTAATATATTTTATTTTATTTATTAATTTAGTAGGTATTATTTAATCTCATTTTTTTGTAGAGTTTATGACTTGTTATCTGGGAATTCAGTTTAATTTTTTATGTTGATAAAGCTTTCTAAAGAACATATAAAGTAAAGTTAATTAGAAAACAAGAAAAATTAACAATGAGAATTGGTGTAATATATGTAAAATTGCTAGAATTCATTTCATAGGATTTTATACATATTTTTTTTTAACTGTTAACCGAAAAAGCGTAACAGTAAATCCTTCTTGAATGCAGGGATTACTTCATTAACAAATTGTGTGTGTGGCAAAATTGTGTTCTGCAAAGCTAACTTTCTGTGGGAAAAGTGCATTAAATATAGTTCAGAGTATGAAAATATAAATAATTGTAAAATGTTATTGTAAATAAAAGGAAAAAAATGAAACAAATGTTAATTTGAAAGGATTTTTATTTCTGCTTAATAAGTAGGTACATGATACAATTATTTTTTTAAATATCTGGTGATTTTTGCTTGGTACTTATTAAATGTGTTGTAGTAAGGTGTGCAAAGCTTTTCAATACCTCTCATAAAGTGTCTTGTTCTTTCTTCATTATAAAATTGATGGTTTCTATGCCATTCTCAACAACTCATTTAACTTTTATGTATGTTAAAGGCTGTATATCTTCTTCACTATCACTGCTTTTGCTGCTGGCTGTTGTTATAAGATCACTGAGTTCATCATTTGTCATTTCACAGTCTTCTTCCACTTATTATTTAATTTCCCCTTCTTCCTGTCTGAAAATACCTCACACCCTGTTGCTTTTGCAATTTGTATTATTTCCTTGGCTTTATTTTCAATCAATGGAGATCCTTTAAATTTGCTGATAACTTCTGGCCAGCAGTGATACTGTGATACTAACAAGCATTCAGTTTTGATGAAATCACTTGTTTTCCTGCATGTTTAATCATTTCTGTGTTGTGTCTTATGTTGAATTGCTTCTAAAATGCCACTGTGTATCCTATCCTCCTTTTCTTTGTCTAATGTTTTATTTGCAGATATGTAAATATGCTTGACAATAATAGACTCTGAATGTTTTATTTCTTTTCCCATTGTTTGGATGAATGAAGTGGTGGTGTCTGATGAAAGGAATAAAGCTCCTACATTTGGATGCAATGTTATGAGCACCTCAGTACAGTGTTCTGTAGCATTATCAAGAATTAGGAGAACTGTAAAGCCCAGGTTTTGCTATTCTAAGGAATTCTTTAATGAATGAATTTTCAAACCATTCACTAAAGAGGACTGTTGCAATTCAGCGGGCACTCTGCAGTGATTTCATCTAATTGAAATTCTCTGGTTTGGCAAATTAAATGGAGACAATTAAAATAGCAAGTATTTGCAAAGTCACACTCTACAAGTTGTGTTCAGCAAGGGTTTACACCATATACAATTGAAGAAGTTGTAACCAAGAACTGTTTGTAAGAACTTCAAATGCATTTTATGAGGTTTTATATGTTTTACATGTTGTTTTTCCATTTTTCATTGCCAAGTTTTGCATCCGTATTTATGAAGAAATTTATCAAATTGACACTATGTAGTAAAATGAATTCATTTTGTCTGAGGTTTTCATGATTTTTTTAAAAATTCAGTATGGAAAAACATATATGAATCCTAATCCTTGAAATGTTACCACTAGTGTGTATAGGATATAATATATGTGTTAATTATTGTTTCATTTTTCAGTAACTGTTAAACTTTTTTGTGGCAATTAATGGTTTAATAATTTTGTAAGAGTTCAGTTATGTGTTTTGAAATATTGTTATATTCTTGTCCAATAGTAGTTGAGTATTAATAATTATTTCAATAATTAATGTAAATTTTTTGGTGTTGCTAATGTTTAAAAAACAAAATGTAATACCTTGCTAAAGAATTAAGCAATAAAGGCAAAACATGAAATAAAACAAAAGCTGTTTAATGGGTATGCTTGAAATTGATCCAAGGGATTGTTGTGGCATCATTGGATCACATAGCAAACAATAAAGCAAAGCCATAACAAAAACACATATATTTTAACCATCATGTTTTGAATGACGTTTGGTTTGGAAGAATGTGCAAATGCTAATAATGGGTATGATACCCTCTAGCTGAAATGCATGTTTGATGATGGAGAGGCAAATTGGCAATAATATCATTGATTGCTTGTCATGGCAGTAAGACCCATTCCTGTTGTAATACATGTCAGAGCTCGTGGAGGTGCATGTCAAAGCTCATGGAGGTACCTGTTATCCATCATCCTAACATGTCTCACATATGCTCTATCGGATTCAGATCCAGTGATCTAGCAGGCCACGGGAGATGGAAAATCATTTCATTCTCCAGACAACTTTGCATTATTCGAGCTGTATCTGGGCAGGCATTAGCGTTCATAAATATTGCAGTGATAAAAGGACGCACAAGAGGGTGTACAATTTCCTCACAATATTGGATGGATGTGACAGAACCACCAGGAATCTTGTAAAGATCGGTGCGGCCTTTTGTTGCTATCCCATGCCATACAAATAAACCTTCTCCTCTGTAATGTCTTTTTTGATGATGTTGGTGTCCAATAGTGTGTCTCTGGCTATTGCCATATCATTGCCCTACAGGAATTGTTCTGGATTTTAATTGAGACTCACCGATAAAAAGTGAGTGACCCCACTGATCTGTGTCCAACAACAGTATTTACGAGTCCAATTCAACTGTGCTGTGACATGTGATAGGGACAAAGGAACATAAACAACAGGTCTTCAGGCATACAGTCCACCTTCATGCAATTGACATGATACAGTTTGGAAGGATATGGGGCCATCCTGAAGTAGCAGAGAGATGCCTAGCCCGCTGTCATGCTGTTAGTGATGTATGGTGTCTTGCACATAGCAACAGGAAGTGATTTTCTCCCATTGTGGTAATGCAGACCAGCATCTTCTGCAGGGGTTTTGGTTCCTTTGGTAATGATTCCACGGTCTACTGATGACACTATGGTCCCGACAGTCTTCTAACACACTTCATCTTGGAAATGCTATCTTCAGCTCATGCTTTCCGATTTGGCTATCGTGGATTTCATGGAACTATCGCTGCTTGTGAACTGACGCATAGGTCCGTTGTGCCCCTTTTTAAGGCACTGTGGTGTGACTGCAGGATTTTATGCTAGTTTTAGTTTCTATTTGTATTTGACATTGCTCTGTCTACTTCATATGTAAATTGTACGTTTTAATTCCTGTTTTTACTTATGTACCTCTTCTGTTACCATTTGTTGTTTATTTTTTGAGCCTGAGTGAGTGTCTTGGGTGGTCATTTAGTTGACCAGGATATGAAGTGCAGGACAGGGTTTTAGTACTGTGTGCAATAAACACTGTTCTGTTTGACTGGGACCAGCCAAAAAGATTTCAAACAAACCTACCTCTTACTGTATTTAAAATTTTTATATGTCTGCTGTGCTGCATGCTTTGAGAGTAATACCTGCAAAGTTACTACGTAGTTTATGAAGATGTTTTTTCTGTTGCCATGTGGGTGTAAGAAAATAAAGAAGAATAGATGTTTGAATGATTTGTTTTTGTGTGTTTATGTTTTGATCATTTGTTTTGCCCAAAGTTTCACACCACAATGTGTCAGCATCTGTATTGTTCTTTTTCTTGCTCTTTTCAAGTTCTTCAATTTCCTTCTGCATAAAGTTCTGGTAAATTGGCAGGAACTGAAGTCATCATTCAACGTGTTCTTTTGTCACAGTTGTAGGTCTCATTAAGCAAAAGTGGAGCTTGAATTGCAGGATCATAAGTCTGTCATGTTTTTTAACATAAACTCAAAGGTAGCAGAGATTCACAGTAGTCCATTGATAACATGAGAATCTTCGAATAAACAACCTTTCTATTCTCTCTGATTTGTAGCAGTGCTTCAGATCACAATTTCAATCTAATGTGATCATTAAGAGCTTTCCGTAGAGGATGTTAAAATGGAATCATGGCAGAGTTAGTCATGAATGTAATCAACCGATTTTTAGAATGATATGATGAAGAATCTTTATATGTAGTGTATTCGCATTGTGAAAAAATGGCAGTGGTAAAATCTTTTTGATAACACTATGATGCACACTGAGCTCTCTCGCAACAGCAGATTGTCTTGCATCAGTTTGCAACATCCTGATGGCCCTCTAATGCATTTCATCATGCAAATGGTGTCTTGGGCTCATGCATTCCACTTTGGCTATCTCAGATTACACAGAACTGTTGCTACTTGCGAACTGATGTATAGGTCCAGCATACCACATTTTAAGCCACTGTGACTGTGGGATGCTTATTTTGATTGCCTATTTGCATTCAGCAATGCAGCCTCTACCTCATATGTAAATAGTATATTTTAATTCCTCTTTTTACATTTGTACCTTTTCTTTTAGTGTTTGTTGCTTATTTGTTTAGCATGAGTGTATTTTGATAGTTTTAATCATAAAATAATGCCAATTATCTTCAGGGAATAGTGATTTCTTTAAATGACAATTATTTATAAGATATAGTACAAAGTCCGAAATCCGGACTGGTCAGTACTTCGGCGATTCTGGATGTGGGATTTTTCCAGATAATAGATCATCAATTTAAGTCTGGTAAGATGGCATGCAGAAATTATATAATTAAAAATATGAAGCATAATTTATGAAATAAAGAACAATTCTGATTTAAAGGGTATCAAAATTTACAAAAAAGCTTAATATTTGTTTACTTTATTAAACATTTCGTTCAATGCAAGTTGTTTTAAGATGCTCCCACAAAAAATTCAAAAAGTTCCTTTTTTTTTTTTTCTTGTGTCATATACAGTGGACTTTCCAATGCCATACTCCTCACATAATTTTAAGACGAATATGCATTTCCATGTTTTTTTCCACATTTTTTTATTGCACATTTCCAATTTTGGTTTTTAATGGACATCGAAACATGGCTTTGTAGATCCCTTTGTAACTCCAGAATTGGAAACTCTTTTCGACATAAT